TACTTGACGGTCCAAGTTGCCACAGCTCATATCAGTACATCAAGTGGAAAGGTAGAGAGGTGAAGGATGAAGATAAGAGAATGCAGTCAAAAAAATGTTAAGTACGAGAAGAAAGAAAAGAGGAATGACAAAATAGTGAGATTCGGTAGAGCGTCGTTTAAGATGAGGATAATGTATGCATACATCTGCGCCACTCACATCGGTTCTGAGCCATATCACCTAGGGTCTCCAACCACTGGTTCCTCTTGTCCCGCGGACCCCAACCACCTAGTCTGCATCACCCTACAAGGCTCTAACCAACAGTCAAATACTTCATGCATTGGTGCCATGTTTTAGTCTGGCCACCTCGGGCCTTTTTCCAGCCTGGACCTACTTCGGTCAACATTGTGTGACGGGGCAATCGGTGACTGGGCGTACGTAGTACGTGTCCCAACCATCTCAATCGATGAAGGTTCATAACCTCGTCAACTGACTTATCTCTTTTCTCTAAAACTCTACACCTGACTTCTGAGTCACTCACGTGGTGACACCATGGAATACGGCCTATACTACGAAGGTAACGGTGGTCAAACACTTGAAGCCTTCTCATATCTTCCACTTTCAATGGCCATGTTTCACAGCCATACAGTAGAGCAAGCCGGACTGCTGTGCAGTATATGCCAACCTTAATAGGCAAACGTATATCACGGCGGCTCTATAGGTGGCGTAAATTGGCAAAAGCCAATCGAGCCTTTTGTATCCGTGCAGAGATCTCATCGGCAACTGACCTACCGGGGCTGATCCTATTTCCTAGATAAGTGAAGTGGTCGACACACTCAACCACTTCACTCTCTATTGTTAGCCATGGTACCGGAAGTACAATATTATCTATTGGATGATGTTTCAAGCACAAATTATTGGTTACTTTGATACGATTATGTTTGATAAATTGTACTCAAGACATCTAGTAAATATAACTGAATTGCCATACACCATATCAAATAAATCAATCTAGCATGCAACGACAATGTGTGTGGATTTTCATCGATGGTGAGACTGGGGGAAATATAAAAACCATTAAATTTGCCAATTGCAATGAATTTATTTGTCTCAAAACAACTACTCGTATAATTTTGATCTACTTATTTCAGAGTGGTGTGATTACTAAGTTATCATGGAAAGGATGTGGATAAGAACATAATTCCTTTCAAATAGGATGAAATAGAGTTTCCGTTAAAATCTTTGTGTTCTTATATACATGTATTATTAAACTGATCTTCTGAATCGGGTTTCTAGTATTCAAATGCAAAACGTATCCAATACTCACTAGAAATAATCAACAATGTCTACTATGACATAATTTTTCTAAATTAAAGGCTAGAAAAACAGCTACCTTATGTGAATTCGATATCTATAGAAATTTCTATGTAGCATAAACCTGCAGGTTTATTGAAAATTTAAGGTGAATAACACGTAAACGGTCATCTCTTTCTCATTCTTGTAAGTTTCCACAACTGACAAGAGTTCAGTTACAGGAAGTTCAGAAAAAAAGGTAGTCATAAAGGATGATTAGTGGAATGATACTAGTTACAGAGTAAAAAAGGTAAATCAGCCATCTCAACTCCAAATATACAGAAGCCTATTTAACGTCACGGAAGACTCCTCCTACCGTAGATGATGAATTATTGATATTACCCACTCAGTATATCAAACACACTATACGTCCCTAAGCAGCCAATAGCGTTCATCTACACCTAGAATATTTGCTCATCGGTAATTCTGGATAATGGTTTGCATCACTGAGGCTGAAAACCATGGAAAACAGATTGAATTCGAAGGCTCTGTAAGGATTTCTCAATCTGAACTACTCCATAACAATAATAATCCATGGTATCGATAAGACAATTTGGTAGTCAACTAGTATACTAATTGCCAACTTCAGTACATTCCGAAGGAAACAACGTTACAATAGGCAACCACAACGTTTTTTACTTCATGATTTCTATAACAGACAGATATCCAGCCACATATTTATCATTGTGACCCCAATAGCCTCGACTGGTGATTTGTTATTTGATGAGTAGATCATAGTTGTTTTATAACCGTCATCTTGTCTATGTAGGTGACAGTTTATTTTGTGATAAGATATATGAATAACTCAGGCAATTTACAAGTAGTTGCCTTCTTGTATATGATCAGCTGGAAGTTAGTCGATGGGAATCAGAGTCATAAGAAATCTTCAACAGACAACCATCAGTCGAGACTTTGTATACCAAGAGGATATACAACAATGGCTGGTAAATCCTTATTCTTCAAGGATTACAGTGTGTTGGATGTTGATAGAATCGGATGATCTGGGCTGAACCAAATGCTCAAAAAAGAATTAGAGGTATGGAAGAACACGGTAAACCACTCAGATAATAAAGATCGAGAGGATGGTCTGAGGAATAGGAGAAGAAGACTTCAGACTGGTACTATAAGAATATCAAACTACAAAATGTTATTCTTGACTTCCTTTTGGTTATATCTTTCGCGTAGATGAAGGGTCTTCTAAAATATGCATACATACATTAAAATGATCGTATGTGGAAGTGAAGAGTAAGTGATCCAAGCCCATACTTCATTCAGTATTACTGATAGCCTAGTTGACAAAGAAAGGCTATGTAAAAAACTTCAAGTTGCGCGTTTTCGCGCTGAGATCTAATGCTTCTATTCGGAAATTCACTTTTGTCGAGGTAATGAACACCAGTATACTTTATTCATGATATTATCTTGGAGAATTTTTCATAACGTGAGTAGTTAGATGAGGTTACCTTTTTTTCATCAAAAAAGCGCTTCTGTAAAAGTATACTCTTCATTCTCATATGCTTAAATTTAGGATATGGTTAAAATACTCACGATAAACGACTGGGAAGCTTTACTGAAAATATAGGAAATGACAATATTGAGATGCAAAAAGGAATGCTTATTATTCACATCTTGTACTGTAGTGATGAAATATTGTACAGTCATTTGTATAATGTTCTTTACTTCCTATTCTGCTTCTATCTCCATATACCCTTAATACGCCTACATTGTCTCTTGAGTTTCTCTGGCCAGAATCTTTACGCATTGCGGGTTATTCCATATGATTTCTGCCGTCCTCTCAACATATACCATTTATATTCATTCTAATCAGCAGTGCCAACTACAAAAATATTGTAAAATGAGATTGGTCTCAAAATCCTAATAATTTCTACGTGTAATACAGTAAACTGAGAAATGATTTATTTATTAGCTGACTACAAAGTTCCGTACATCAAGAACAACACTATTAAAAAAGACGAATGAATTTTATACTGACGCTTCCTAACTGTCAGTACCTTCAAGATATGAAAAGAATCGATCAACAACAAAGTCGATAGGATATCTCAATAAGCAATTAAACTATATGAATAATGGTACCGTGTGACGACAGTGAAAATGAAGAAATCGACTTCGAAAGTAATACTGAAAAGAATAAACTATGCATATTTAGTTCATTTCATGCTATGCATCAAAGTAGTGCTACTACTAGCACAATAGGACTTGAAATTCAAGAAATCTAGGCCACATGATGGTTAGAAATTATTTTGTGTTCCCAGTCAAAGTGTAACATTCATCAAGAAACTCATTTCTGTTTTTTTTCTATAACCTACCTCAATAAATTTCTAATCAGTCTTATTTGTTATGATTTGACTATCTAAGATACGCGTAGTTTGGCAGACTAGTATTTGTACGATGCTCCCCCTCTCTGATTCAGTCAGATTTGGATTGGGATGAGAAGTCTTGACTAGGCAGCCAGTGTGAATACGATCAAGCGGTAGTAACGCGTCATGAATTCACATGGTAGTCGGGCAAAACCCTTGATGATTGAAGTGAAATATAATTCTGGTCAGCAGTCGGACCTCGGACCTCAGTTGGTAGAGCACCGGGCCGGTAACCCAATGGTCCGAACCCGACAGCGGTCCAGATTTTCATCTCACCTTCAGTCATCACCGAATACAAAGTCTTATTTGTGCCAATTTTGAGTATGCTTACTTCTGACTCAATAGTATATTCAAAATTCAGTTAGAAGTGGGTTTGTTATTTTGATAGTAAAGCAAATGCTACAGTCTGAAGGCTGCGAGAATTGGAAAATATGTTAATTCTAACATGTACAGTTGTAACGGTTATCTGTTAACTAATACTTCTCATAATGACGAAGTTATGAATGAACTGAAAGAAGCAGGAAGAAGGCAATCATGTTCATTACCTATACAGTGGTATTACTGTATTGGTTTATACGTGCAGCTATGGCTAATTGGTTCAGGTGGTTGATTTTGAATCAGCTGGTGGCAGGCTCTAACTTCACTCCACTCACTGGTGTTTGGGTAGCCAAATGATACCATCAACTCTTCCACAACTGGTGTGCTTACTCCTGTGTACAAACCCGCATTTGTTTAGTGCTTGGTGAATTACATAATTTACACACGTTCATCCGTTTCTACACCCAAAGATACTTTTCGCCTTAGAAAAGACAAAAATCGGACGTCAAAAGACTCTGCCGTCATGTGACGAAAAACCTCGTCAAAAGGTGTGAAATATGAGGCATTACTAGTATGTATTTTCATACGCTAAACATATCATTCCACTACTGATTATGAATTGTCTTAAATACAGGATTTATATAACACCTGAAGGAAGGTAGCAAATAAACACTACTACTCGAAGCCCCACTAAATATACACCGACAAAAACCCAACAACTCTCAAAATAGGAGAAAATAGGAGAAATTGGACCCTTCACATGTCTTAACCTTATCATGTAAGTTCTCTGAGAGCAATTATGACGGGGGAAAGGATTGGAGTCCATCAACACATTCTATTTGTTTTACACCAGACAGGAACTGGGAGCAGAGTTCCTTTATCGGCTTGATTATCACCACGTTCTTCGGACCATTGTAACTTTGATAACTGATACAAAACACTGCAGTGTTGCCACCGTTTTCTTCAGGTTAGTAGTCATAATGATGAAGACATCACAAAATATGAATGGTTTACATGCGATTCAGGATTTTTTACATTGATAGCAGAATGCTAGATAAAATAAATATTACAGAGCAGCAACACCCCTTCAAACTAAAAGAAATGTGCCTGCTTCAGTTTGCATACTTCACTATTTTCACGAACCTTGACATAAGTGACTAATATCAGTAAATAACCTTGTAAATCACCGTTCATATGCAACGCTACAGAGTGCCAAGAAGCTTGAAACTCTCCAGTTATCTGATGCATACAGATAACCGGAATGGGTGGTTGAAGAAGAAAGGATCGTTGATCATTGGATGCAGCCAAACTGCGGAGGTAGATTTTTCTTTGCTGGTTGCTAAAGTCTAGATGCCTACATATAGCTTACCTAGTGACGACCGATTTGAGTCAAAAAATCGAATAGAAAAGAACTCACCAACCTGCGTACATTCGCGCAGTAGGCAATGAGCTACACCTGTTATGAGAGGAACAACGATACTACCTAGCTGTTTAAACCTCGGTAGGTGGGGCGGGGTTGAAGTCCATGACCTATTGGTTGAAAGTCATCCCAATAAATCAGTTAGCCACAGCTTCACGACCAATTCGGATACATAATGCAGTCAAATAGAGGGTCAGTCGTCATCTTAATAGCTTTCTAGTTGAGCCTCTGAATTCAGTACTGAGTGATTCAGCTTCAAATCACCAAGGGAACACCAGTTTTCCTGGTGGTGGCAGATGCACCTTGCTACTAAGTACTAACAAGTATGAAACCTAGGTCTAAGATTTCCAGCCAATTCACTCCCAACACCTGATACTAACGTAACCATTTTAATAAGGTTGATATTTATTACTTGCGTAGAATCAAAAAGCTGCATTCAGTAGAACTACCGTTATACCTTTAGTTCAGAGAAGAGAATTGAAAAATGTACAGAATTTCAGTTATGTACTCTTTAAACAGACAACAAATAAATGCATCGATGCAACGTCCACAATAACTTCCATTAAAAATTCCCTATGGTTTAATATCCATTTTCTTGGACAAAAGATAGGTCTATTCAAAACACGAACCATCAAATAAGGCAGAACCAGCTTCAAGTAAACATCGAAGTGAGTAAAATAACATCGTGTTTCTAGTACCTGGCACAAAGAAATGAGTCTGAATAAAGCATACTGAAATCCACCATCCAGTAAAGAGTTATGCTGAATAGAAAACAGCTGATTCATTGATTGAAATGCACGTTGATATTTTGCTTGTACATCAGAAAATTACGCCGACTACTGATAGCCTGATCCAACCACACAGCCTCGAGGAAAAGATTGTTTCTAAGAGCGTACAATTCTGGAAGTTTTGATTTCTGACACCGCCAGTCTTTATTACATGGATAACGTCTGTTTTTGCTGAAACAACTAAAAGTGTGATAAAACTGATATAAATTTTCTTCAATTCACCACATTCTGATACTATATCTCGAAAACGTTGTAAAGCTTCCTTGAATCTTCTACGCACAAGAATGCCACGAACACAAGCTTGAAGTCGCACTATACTCTGTATTTCAGCTTTAAAGACAAAAATGCTATTTGAAAAACAACTACATACCATCAGAAAATTCACGCATGACGAAACACAATCTAACATTACAGAAGCCAGTTTACTGCATACGAGATCTTGGATAAAGCTGGATTGGTTTCCCAGCTAAGTTTCAGACAGCATTTCAGAGTCTTTGTAGCATAACCTGAAAGAAAATAAAGAAATAGCTTAGTACCTACTAATAGTAGAGGAAAGAGGATGAAATTAATTCTAGAGAAAATAAGGAAAATTCTATTTGAGAACTAAATCCAGAATATTGATGCACTTTGGCTTCAAGATAAAGAAATGAGAATAGACATATAAACCTGCTTCAATGACTAACACCAACAGTATCACAGTCCTAACACTGCTTTACTGACTTGCTGAGTAAACTGTAAATCACTTGAGGCACCTTGCTCTTATCTAGTCTCTCTGATAGGATTTCAGCTCTCACAGATCATGATAAAGAGCCTGTAAGCTATTAGATATATATAGCTCTCTCAAACAGTTAAGAATTCTTAGGGAATGGTGTTTCATTGATGCCAATGTAACACTGAGTTTGGGTTAAAAATGGATAAGATAACTATGTGGATTAATGCCTACCAAGGGAGACTAGTGGAATGATAACTGTCTTACACAGTGCGATTCATATTATTAGAAAGACCAAACGAAGTCTCCACTAGGTAATTCAATTACAGCCTTTGAGAACGAATTCGGTTAATATTAAGTGCAGAAAGAATGATAAATAACCAGAAACCATTCTGCAGGTCTAATACACTGAATAGTTGGCAGGATTTTGTATGATACCTTATAAGGACACGCTTTTGCTGCTATTTACGGGTATCTGCAAGGGTCGTATCATAATAGATGAACATGCTGCTTAATCTTAGAAGATACTTTTGGAATAATGATTAAAGTCCTTAAGTTCCCATTTACAATTTTAAAGAGGAACCGATTGTAATATATTTCAATCTTGAGTCTTAAAGTTAATAAACCAAGTGACCTGTTTTAATTCTCACAGTAAATATCTCTGTAGAGATCCATTTTCTGCTTGAAAGTGTTTACTGAAGTAGTCTAGAGATAAAGTCTCACTGTTAATTGGAATAAGTACCATACAAGAAGCGTCAATAATGACTGCCTGATACTTCCAAATCTCCGTCGATCAAAAAGACGTTGCTGAAGTAGTTCAGTAGGTTTTTAGGACTAACCAAGTTCGACCCCACCAAACCTTTCAACTCCCAATGAGAAAGTAGCATAGTTATTTCAAGAAAACCTCCTCATCTAACAACCATGTGTGTGCAGTCTTTTGAAAAGCTTTTACTACCGTTAGTTGCCCTTAGTACAGATGGACAAGAGAAATGATGCCCATTAAAATATGGTTTTCCCTATCAGGAAACACGACTGTCAGATAAGTCCATGGCACTAAACACAGAACACAAATACTTTTAGTGCAATGTTTAGCAGTAAAATTATCAAATAAAGACACCACTCCTTTCTAAAAATAATTTTAAGTCGTCTCATGCTACTAGCTGCTACTACTTTTGCGTGGTGGTGAGTCTTGAACATTACAATGACCCAATGAGCTATGCTGAGCAGAACAATTTTCCCTTGAAGTCCTGCCATAGCAGGAAGGTTTTCGTACATTGATAGAACTGAAAGCGATTACCATCACAGCGGTAGGGTTCAGACGGTAAAGCTGTACTACATCCATCAAGAGTGCATAGCGATGCTGAGTCAACTAGCCTGGTGGACATATTGCAAACTCATCGACAGGATTCGGTCAGCACTTAGGACTAGATAATATGAAGTTGGTTACCCTCCACTGACCAATGTACCTAATCCAGTTATATAGAAGGTCGGTCGCGGCCCGAACAGCTGTGGTAGCGTCTCTGACTGCAGCACTAGGTGACACCAGTTCGAATCTCAGGCAGTACCTCAGTTCCGTCGAGGATGCAGATAAACCTTGCTGACAAGTGCCAAAGAGCACGAAATCCTGGTCCAAGGCTTCCTACCGATTGCCTCCATCCAGCTAACATCTGAAAATAACACTTCCCTGTCCAGCAGCTTCTTAAGGTTTTGATGGTATGGCTTTGTCATGTTTGGGAAAGCGCAGTAAAATCACAATCAAAACCCCTTTAAAATGAAGCGTATGATCAGTCTTAAGTAGATGTTCATTGGACTGTGTGAACACGCAACACTGTTACTAGTCTAATTTCTTTTTCAGGTACCTCAAGAAGTAACTCTTCGATGATTCGCACAGTTGGGAGGTGTCATCCGTCCTAACGACTCTATCAGCACTCAAGTCCATTCTGTCCTTCACAAACTTTCTACACATCTGCATTCCAATCTTTCCTTACGTTTCTCTGTTAATAACACTAGATCACCTTTAGTGTCTTTCCGCTCTACAGCACTTGATAACAATTTGAGTTCACGAAATAACATGCGTGATCTCCAGGAACAACAATCCAAACTACGTGCGGGAACTTCCAATGTCCGCACCGTTCGTGAAGTTAGGCAACAGGCTTCTCACTAATTTACATCTCTAATGTGTTCGAACATTTGCATCAAGCGAGGATGGTCAAAAGAGAAAAAAAAATGCAATGAATACGTTTCTCACTAGATACGTTACAGCAGCGACCTAGATAGCGACTCATCCCCATGTAGCGGCGATGTTCGAATTATAACAAGTGACACACTTATCTGACCAAAGTCTCTGGGCATACAGGAAGTTTCGTATGTGTTGAATAGCATGTTTATGAAGCTGCAGCATGTGTCGTGGTCCTGCTGCAAAAGAATCACATGATCACAGCCAACCTTTTACTGTTGCATGATGTAGACTGAAACAGAGCTTGGAAACGGAAAATTTAGATTGATAACATTAAGACATTTTTTATATGTATAATAATTCCTATCAAACAATCTTTGCTGAACTACAGTTTATCGTATGCTGACCCATATCCTGAGGGACTGCGAACGGAACACCACAGATAGTGTTATCAGTATCCAACTGGAACGTCAGTAGTCTTAAATAGGCAGTATGCCCACTAGAGACGATAAGCTAATAGCCTAGGTAACAATGAAAATGAAGCCACCTAGTCGACATTTTCGCCGGAAAACAAGAGGCAGATCGTGAGTCAAAAAGAGAGTGTCCGTAACTTAGGCTAAAACACAAAGCCATTTGCCAAGAGAGTGAAATGTAAGGAGACTAAAAAGAAACGCAGGGCGAACATCGGGCACTACAGAATAAATGCAAACCTTGAGGAAACGTCACCCTACACTTTTCATGCCATTTCTTCTCCCAAAACTAGCCATTTGGCTCCGTGTAAAATTTTAATAGGTGAAGATCTACAGGTAAAGTCAGGGGTCAAGGAAAAAAACTGTATTGGAAACTAGGGGTTTTGCAACGCTGCTCGATTCCTGTTCCCGCGTTTCACTCAATTAGCCTCGTGTTTCCCTGCGGAGTAATGTGACTGCAAGTCAACAGGGACTAAAATCTTTAATAAGGAATACATTTTCTGAATGCTGAAATGATGCGGAGATGATCCGGGTTAATGCATTCATTTGAAATGCGACACTTAAGCAAATTTTACGGACTATCCGCATAATTTCAGCACTTACAGAATAATTTCAGAGTGCGTGCGTAAACACAGTTTTATTTATGCACAATTCCCTCCGTATTTCCGCGAAATTCCCGCACTAACTACATCAGTTACGCAAACTTAAGTTTAAACGTTGATTTAATTGAATCCCCCTATCTAACTTTTTCACACAGCTTTTCTCTTTTCCAGCCTGCAGTGACCTAGTCTCACTCTATGAGTTGCTATTATGGTCCAAAGTTTCAAAATAATACTTTTAGCGACCACGAAACTAAAATATGAGCATAGAGTAATGTTTTGAGTGGTCAAAGCTAAAGACCTCGTAATGCGCGCCCTCTGTTTGAAACTCGTTTCTATTGGTAACAGGACAAAGGATGTGGCTCTATTTAATAATACATGATGAATAAAAAACTGTGGAGCTTGGCAACATAGGGGTGAAAGAGTTCAGAAATGGAGACTGGAAAGTGGATAAGTAAGGTTTCAAATGCGTAACACCAAAGTTTTGGAAATCCAAGATTTCGGTTTGACTAATACATGAAAATTAGCTTGAGTTCGTATTTTTTTAAAATCACTATTTACCTGGTCACATTTTTCAGACAAACTTTTGCATGACTCAGGATATATTCCTTTTAGAAGTCAAGTCAACGTGCTGGTTCAGCGACGCCACAATTTGTTTTCATGCATTGTGATAACTTTCATAATTCGTCATTATACTCACTTGCTTTGGACTCTGATTTAGTTTGACCTAGCGTGGTAAAAAGTGTTACGAGGGTGCGCCATTCCAAAACTGGTGAATTTTCCAGCGTGGACGAAGGCTATAATCTGCCAATTGCAAGCACGATCGTCTGACTTCAAATGGCCAAAATGCTGCGCTTAGCGCTTATTTTAAGCCATAAATGACGCGCTAATATGGGGAACTGTGCAAAAAACGAAGGGGTTCGAAAATGAAGTGGCGGAAACGACTATCCTTGCTCGATTAGATGGGTTGCGAACTGTTGCTTTCAGGATTGTAAATCGTATTCATACTGTGTGGAATTTTGGAACTTGAGGCTAAAGCCCACGTTAGAAGTTGATCCACAAACCATATTCGTGATTAAGTTCATTGTGAAACTCGGAAGTAGTTTCCTAATCTGATGTAAAATAAGGGAAGCGTACGAATTATCAAAAACTTAGTTGTTTTCAAAATTTTGTTTTTCCAAATCTACTAGTTATTATTCTCTAGGACGTGTAATTTTCATCTTCCATTGCAAATGCGATGCGGTGCGCTGTCTTTGTAAAAAGGTTTTTTCGTTCAACTGGCCCATTCTTTTCAGGATGATAACTCGTCTTTCGAATCCGTCGGGCATCAGCAAGTGACACATTTCCCCCACCAATGAACTCGGAAAATTTGGGCCCTGACCAGAATGCACCCGTCCTGGAGCTCCTCAATAGGCAGCCGAAGAACATATATATA